ACTCTCTCTGAACCTCATCAGGTGTCTGGCTCTGGAAGTTCCATGTTGTCAAGTGAGGGACTGTCCTAATGGCTGACGTTTTGGATGGGAGACAGTCTGGGGTCTCAGAAACTCTGTGACTCACAGAAAGCAGAGAGTCCGGGGGAGCCGTGTGCTGTTCCGTGCCCTTTGGTTTTAGAACCTCGGGTCTTCTCAGTGGTAAAGCTGTCGTGGGGACAAGGGCAAAGCTCCTCCGTGCTCACCAAGGGCAGGGGGTATTTCTACAGTTTGGAATAATGTTCCCCCACCCCCAGATTTCCCTTGGTTCATCCATAACAGTAACTAAAGTGGACCCCCTTGGTGGGTAATTGTGGGATTGGTTAGGGGCACAGGTCATTAGACATGACAGCTTTCCTCACATTTTTGGCCCTGTGGACCCCTTCCATGACCCTCTTTCCCCTAAGGTGGCCCAGTGGCCTTCTGTCTCATGCAACAAGAAGAGTCCACATGGCAGAGTCAAGAGGGCAGACCATGGATGGCTGTAGCTGGACAGATGGAGAGGAGGGACAGACAAAACCTCCAGAGATACTGGAGACCATGTTATCAGAGTCTGGTGTTCTGAGCCCAGGAGTTTGGGTCTGATCCTACTCCTTGTGGAAGTTATATTACTCACCTGCAATTTATAGCCCAGCAATAGGAGAGAAAAATGAATATCAGTATGGCTGGGGGTGGGGAGTTTAGGCACAATGTCCCCACAGACCAATCACAAAGGGTCATCTGTCCAGGGATAGGGGGATCAGATCAGTGTGACTGGGGATACCCACTGCTGGCATGCAGCGAACTGAACCTGGGAGGTCCAGGGACCTGGAGGGCTAGGGCTGGGCACTTTCCCTTTAAATGAAATCACCAGCAATATTCCCCTGCAGCCACGAACTTTTAAAAGCAGGTCAACCACTAGGTGGCTATTTTTTAAGCCAGTAACAACCATTTGTCAGGTTTATCTTTGTGTTCTAAGGTGCCCCAGGAAGAGAATTTCTTTTTCCCCATCCAGCAAAGGAGCGTCTGACTCATAACTCGACCTGATGCTTGTAGCAAGGTAATGGGAAATTTTTCATCAACCTTGAGAGCCCAGACAGCATGCAGCTCTCAGCTTGTCTGGGCTCCTCCAGGGGCCAGCTTAGCGATGATCTGCAATAGGCAGGCAGAGCGGGACGTGGATCACCAAGCTGCTAGGAGCTACTGTGGCCACAAGCTCTTAGGCTGGATGTAAATTTATGAGCGAGGATGATCTGGGTGATCTCAGATCATTTACCAGCAGAATGCCTTATTATCACAGGGCCCTGTGCCTCGGCTCTAGACCAGGGAGGACAGTAATAACAGCTACCCCTAAGGAGGAGGTGAGGATCCAGTGAGATGGTGTGTGTGAAAGGCTTCCCAACTGTAGGGCACTGCATGATGCTGGCTGTAACTGTCATCCCTTATTGGCTACAGTCAACGTGGAAAGACAATTAGTCTGGAAAGAACCATAGCCCAAAGGGGTATACACTTAGAAGGCAAACTGCTGAGTCAGGGGGACCTTTTGAAAACACAGATCTCAGCATCTCTTTCCTCTCCTCTGCTAAAAACCCTCCAGTGGTTTTCCTCTGCATTTAGGAGGAAGTTAAAATGTTCACACGGTCTGAAGGCCCTGGACCATGTGACCCTCCCTGTCTTTCCCCTCGCTTCCAGTCACCTGGCCTTTCAGCAGTCCTTTGCCCTCAACCTCGGGGCCCTTGCACCACTGCTTTCTCTGTGGCTCTGCCTCTCTCCGCCTGCAATCTCTCTCCCTTGGATCTCAGTTTTCATGCAACTTCCTCAGAGAAACCTTCCCCAGAGCACCTTCTACTTGACTTTCACCACAATTTGAATTGCGTGTTTATTGCAATTATTTCTTTTGTTGAATTGGATCTCAGTTTTCATGCAACTTCCTCAGAGAAACCTTCCCCAGAGCAACTTCTACTTGACTTTCACCACAATTTGAATTGCGTGTTTATTGCAATTATTTCTTTTGTTGAATAGCTCAGTGACTGCATCGGGCTACAGATAGTTCTAGGTGCTTGAGGGGCAGCCATAAATAAAGCAGTCCCTGACCTTTTGGACCTTGTTTCTTACAGGGGAGATGGAGAAGACCAAACCGATAGAGAGAGAATTTAATGTCAGATAGGGATAAGGGCCATGAAGAAAAATGATGCAGGGAGAGGAAGAAGCCTCCAAGGGAAGGTGAAGCATCCATCACCCCCACTGGGTGAGAGATGCCTGTGTCTGTTTCCTTCACCATCCTGCAAATCTCCAGCAGTAAGGTGCATGCTTAGTACATAATAGGATAAATGGATAAATGAAATGACACTGTCCTTAAGGATCCTTGGGTCCCCTGTATCTGTGGCCATCCCAGGGGCCACTGGGCAGCCTGGAGGAGCCCCAGAGGCAGAGAGTGGCCCCCCAGGAGCTGATCCAAGCAACTATCTCCCCAGGACTTGGATATACAACTGAGGCAGGAACCGAGGCCTGCTGTCTCTGCCCCTCCTGCCACCAGAACTGCCAACACTACTTCTTTAATGCTGACATATGGTGCAGTCATTGGTGCAGCTGGACCTGGCCAGGCCTTCGAGAGATGACCAGATGTGAACGAGCAGGATTCCCTCTTGGCTTTTAGATCACATTTAGCAAACAACTTCTACCCTGGCCACACTTCCTCACTCACTGGGCTCTCAAAATGGCCTGGAGTTTACACTATTCACCAGTGGCTCTGACTCAAGAAAATGCCTTAATACAAGCTGATGTGATCCCAGAGCCCATGACAGTCAACATGCCTTTGTCCTTGTGTGGGACTCATCTTTCTAGTGTCTCTCAACTACAGGGCAACTGAGCAGAGGTTCACAACCTTCAAAAACCCATGAATTACACAAAATGGAATATTATTCAGCCTTAAAAAGGAAGAAAATCCTGACACATGCTACCTCATGAATGAACCTTGAGGACATGATGCTAAGAGAAATAAGCCAGTCACAAAAGGACAAATATGGTACTATATAATCCCCACTTATATGAGGTCACTAGAGTAGTTAAATCCATAGAGACAGAAAGTACAATGGGGGTTGCTGGGGGCTAGGGGTTGAGAGAAATGGGGAGATGGGGTTTAATAATTAGAGTTTCAGTTTGGGAAGATGAAAAAGTTCTTGAGATAAACAGTGGTGACAGCTGCACAACAGTATAAATGTACTCAGTACCACAGAACTGTACACTTAAAATGGTTAGAATAGTAAAGTTTGTGTTATGTATATTTTACCATAATACAAAAAGACACACATTGCAGAAAAAACAAATGGAAAAACCCATGTGTGCCCACTTTAGATGTAAAACTTACACCATATCTAATATTATTGGAAATTTGAAAATAAATCAGTTATTCATTAAACAGACCACCAAAGAAATAGAACAGAGACCCGCTCTATTTCCAGATATCACCCCCAGACCTTGATCTTTGTGGGGTCTGCTGCTCTCACCCCACAGAGAATCATTCTTTTGGTAGGCTAGGCTGCTGGTGGACGTTGTAGACATGATGGAGACCAAGATCTGCTCTTAAGGCTTTGGTATCCCCAAGGGCACCGGGCATGGTTCCCAGTGTTGATACACTGTTGAATAAACCAACCATTCAGCAGGTTCTTTAGGAAGTTCAGATGTCAGTGCACATACTCAAATTTCTGCGTCTATTATCTTTCCACTAAAATACAGTGAGCTTCAAGGTGTTGGAGACAGCGGGCCAGGAGCCAGAAAACCAAAGGTGAATTCTCAGATCTGGTCACCAACAAAATGGCGGTGGCAGTAGCAGTGGCAGTGGGGCATGGGGGGGGCGGGGCTTGATGGCAGTAGGGAAATTAAATGTGTCATTCTGCCTCTTAGCCTCAACTTCCTTATTTCCAAAGGGTTGCTGTGAACATATTCAGTGCTTTCTTTTTTTTTTTTTTTTTTTTTTTTCCGTGTCCGGCAACGGATCACAACCCTCAGTGTCGCCCCCATACCAGACCAGGACCGGCAACGGGATCGCAGCCCTCGGTGTTGCTCCCGCGCCTCGCTCAGCCAGTGAGCGGGAACCGGTCTGTATGTGGGATCCGAACCCTCGGCGGGAGCACCACCGCACTTCCCAAGCAGTGCACTATAGCAGTGCGCCACCGGGCCGGCCCATATTCAGTGCTTTCTTATTGGGATCCAGTGTGAGGGCTCCGGGACAATGTCATGCAATTGATCTATGATAAACTCATGACTTGTTCCAACTATCCCCACCCCCAGGGCTTACTCAAGTTTCTCACTGTCTCCTGAGGAAGCTTCAGCAAACACACCCAGAGCTCTGCCCATCAATTACAGATGAGCTATGGAAACCAAAGCAAGGGGCAAAGGAAAGCTGGGATATCCTGTTCTATGTCTGCAGAGGTTACAGCCTGTCCCAGGTGTAGTCCCATCTGCGGTGGCCATGAAAATGTGTCCTCTGATCTCCTGTGGGGAGCCCAGTGCCTGTCTCAAGTCCCACTCCACCACCTCCTCTCCCCACCCCCAACTCTCCCAGCCAGTGACTAAGCATGGGGGGACCAGTGTAGGCCCAGCCTGGAAGGACATGGGACTCCCACCAGTCTTGGAACTGCCCTGTGGTTGGAGGATCCTCCTCCCCAGGCCCCCTTCCTGCCCCCTCTCCTTTCTGGGTGCCAGGCCTGCATGGCAGTCCACCAGCTCCTGCTCTCTCCTTTTTATCCTTCACAGGCATCTCCCCCAATAAATCTCTTGCAGATCTAATCCCTTCTTGGCACCTGCTTCTCAGAACACCTGAGCTGATACCCTGTCACATTGGCCAAAGGAGCCACACACCCAATAAATGCCCTGCAGGACAACATATGCATTTGGGGGAACAGCAATAAACACCTTCAACTTTTTCAGACCTGACGGTGGACAGGCCACATCATTCATTCTGTATGTGTGCGTTAAGCTCCTACCGATGGCCAACGCAGGCACGCCCTGCTCGATGGGGCAGAAGGCTGGCATTCTCGTCCCCATTTGGCACATGAGCAAACTATAAGAGATTATCATATGCATATAATTTGGTCATAATTAATCTTAATGATGTTAAAAATAACAGGCAACATCATTAAGCAGTTACCACATGCCAGCTACTGTTTTATACTTTTTTATGTGCTGCCCATTTTTAAAAACCTTAGGCAGCTCTATGTTTTTGGGAACGATGAGGAACCAGGAGCACGGATATGCACTGAGAGTCGCTTGGTGTGATGCTTCATAGGAATGGAGCCACACAGGAGGAAAGGGGGCTTTACAGACACCTGGCCCCCCAGGCTCATGTTGCAGGAAAGCCTCTGAGTGGGGTCTCTGTGGCCTGATGGATTATCATTAAAGTTTCATGCGGCCATCTCTGGTTTCACACTGGGCATCATCAGTGAGAAGACATGGCAATGGGCCATAAAGGACATGTGCTCAGATTCCTAATAAAACAAGACTGCACCATAATGCACTCCTCAGCCATGGCTGAGGCCGACTGCTACACAGAAACGAGAAAAATCGATGTGTGATTTACAGAGAGATTGGTTTTTATCTCTAGATGTCAAGCGATCAAGGAAAATGTAATGTCTCACACTGTGTTCATCTTTAAAATGCAATAAACTAGTCATCAGAAAAGGAAATGGAGATGGTGTGAAAGGCCTGGAGGGGCAAGAGCCCAATGCCCAGAGCAGACCCATCTCCTCTCCTCCCCTGGGTGAGCATCTCTCCACCAGCCACCCTCCTTCCCTGCAGCGAGGGAGCTTTCTTCCACCTCAACCACCACATCCAGCTTCCCCCTTCTCCCACTGAAATGAGAGATCCCGACACTCTTCACTCTTCTGATGGGGGATACACTGAGACAACAACCTGCTGCCGGGGCTCTCCCTCCTGCTCTTGAGCCCTTTCCACCAGCCCTGGACAACAGAAGGGGCTGCCCGGCAATCCTGAGCTGCAGGACTGACCCTCTGGAGGGCCCAGCAGCACTGGCTCCAGTCATTTTGGAAGAGGTTTTACTTTGCTTGCCCCAATGCCCTCCACCCCAGGAAGAGCAGACTTTGGGGTTCCCACCTTCAAGCCATGGATCTTCCTCCCTCATCACGCCCGAGACTCTGCTCCAGCACCTGCACATCCGGCCTGTTCAAGGCCTTCCAGAACGCTCCAGCCACCAGAACCTCCAGGTACACAATGACATATACCGTTGACCTTTATCTAGTGCCATCTATTTTTTATGTGTTACGCTTCTTTCCCTGCCAGGTCCCTAAGCTACTTGGGGCTGGGGACTACAGCCCTGCCTTGGGCATCTCCTATAGGTCCATGGCTCTGGAAGCCACACAGTGAGTGCGCAAAACCCATGCATAGAAGGACTGTCCCTGCTCGGGAAAATGCTGTCTGTCCTTCTGGCAGAGTGAGGAAGTGAATACGGGGAATCGTTGCCCACTTGGCAAGGCACAGCCGAGGAGAGAGGCAGAAGGAGAAGGCAAGTGCATGCCAGGTCACAGCCTTCCTGGGGGCAGGGGCGCCCGCAGCCCAGGGCTCAGCTCACAACGGGCACATGATGAATAAGTGCTGAACAAATGAGGAAATGAATGAGAGCAATGGATGGAAGGAGGGATCCAAAGAACAGAGAAGGGGAAGATGAGAGAGAGAGAAATGCACAGGTATCTGTGGATCAGCACGACTGAACTGTCCTGACATGTGCTTCAGGAGAGGCAGGTTTTAAGGGACTGGCCAGTTAGCTCTCTTGGCAGAGCATGGTGCTGATAACACCAAGGTCAAGGGTTTGGACCTCCTTAAGGCTGGCCACCAAAAAGAAGAAAAAAAAAAAGGAGAGGCACGTTTTACCCATAGACTAGCTCACCACTTTCAAATGGACCTCCTATAGCAGGGAGAGACCATCCTCTCTCTCTCTCTCTCTCTCTCACACACACACACACACACACACACACGATCTGGGGGATATCATGGTATGGTATCCGCTGCAGTGTGGCCAAAAGCACCGGTTGTGACCTCACACCAGGCTGACCATTGCTCTTGGCCACTCCCATAGCACTAATATAGGACTTGAATAATTTGATCCTCACCAACCTGTGGACCTGGAGAAAAATGTTCAGGCTTAACCATGAACTAGGCAGGCTCTTCAAGGAGGGATGCGGGCTATAGGAGGACGCTCGGACCTTCTCTCAGAGCTTCTGAACTGGCAGGAGCCGTCCGGCCCACAGATGGAGCCTGGACTAGGAGGCATCTATAATATCTCCTGTTTAGCCACAGAGGAAGGGATGGCGTTAACTAAGAAATGCTAGTGGGAACAACATTGAAGCCAAAGCTGCTTACTTTTCCAACTAACCACTCTGGGCCTCCCTGTCTCTGTTTGCACAATGGCGTGGAATCACTCCTGATTTCTCTAGATGAGCAGCCATTCTTACACGACATCGCGGTATGGCGCAGTCCGTGCAAATGCACGTGAGCTACGGTGTGCTGCCACAACAGACAGAGCCAGAAGTGGGGAACAGACAGGCTCATGCCCCTTGCAGAGACTCAAGTTGTCTTTGATGGGACAATTGCCAGCAAAATCTCCTTCTTCCTCCACTGACTTATGCCTGGCTTCTGAGAAATTCAGGACTTGGGGGGCTGGTGGCAGCTCGCCTTACCTCCCTAGAAGGGCTTGGTGATGACTCTGGGTAGCAAAAGTACTAGTTTCCAAGCAACCAAACAACAGTCCTTCAGCTGTAGCTCTTCATTTCACAGAACAGTAGCTCTAGGGAAACATCTGATTAAGTCAGCCAAGGATTCACCACCCTGGAATAACTTGAGCCCAGTAGGACCCTGCTAAGATCCCTTTTCACCAAATGAAAGTAAACAGACAAGTCTGAAGTCACACCTAGAGAGGGACTCCCAATCTACCATTAATTGGGTATGTCAGCTGGCCTTAAAAATTCAATCAGCCACGTGGTGACCCAATCAACTGCTGACAAATGGGCCATTTTGTGTGCCCTATTCTTTATTTAAAAAATTAGAAATCTTCTTTGAAAAAGAAACAGTGGCCTCTGGTTTGAGCATTTCCCATCTGCCTCGCTGTATACATTTGCCATTTAGGCCAGATTGCTTTATTCTTCTTTCTAAGCCAAGGGCAGGGATATATCTCATTCGACCTGGGGTGACTTGGAACTCAGAGAATTCTAAATCCTTATTCTCTTCTCCTTCTTTCTTTCTCTACCAGGCCCAGATACTTAAACATCTCCCTCCAATTCTGTATACCCTTTTGATTCATGCCTGCCTGACTCTGAGGCACTCATTGCCAGGGGAGTATATGGTGCCTGGCTACATGGAAAAAAGAAAAAAGCTCCTTTCACCTGCTTCACCAGCTGGAACCCTCTGCTTTGAAGGGCTGGCTAATGTTGTGAGAACCTGTTTCTACCACCATCCTGGCCCTTTTCTTTTCCCTGCATGTTTTCAGCAGCCCCATTTTCAGCCCAAGACTTCCCACTGTGGAGCTCACCATAAGCAGCACCTTCTCTCGAAGAGCTCCTGTGGCCCCAAGCCCAGAGCACTAATGGAGAGACCAGACCCTTGCAGCCCAGTTTCCAGGCTGCTGAGGTGCCCGTGGACACCATCCTGGGAGCAGTGCTTCAGGCTGGTAGCTGCATCTGCATCAACTGTGACCCTCCCCAAAAGATATACCTGGATTCAGGGAGACGCGGTAGGGAGTGTGCATACGGCCCCACCCCAGTGGGAATCTATACCCTAGGAGTCTCCAAGTAACCAAAAGTCTTTCCTAAGAGACTGCATCCTGCAAGATGATCTTGAGCATGCTGTAGCAATCAGATTGAATAATTACTTAGGGGCAGCTGCAGGAAGCCAGGCTACAAGGTACCAGCTCATTTCAATGGGTGACCCACAGCCTCAAGACACAGCAATTGCTCAGCCCTAAACTCAAAGCCAGACTCTACCTTAAGACTTGTTTTCCAGTCTGCCTCAAAGGACCAAGCCAATGCCCTTCTCTGGAGTCGAGTGATCAAAGAACCCACCACAGCGCCAGGCTGGAACTTGGGGATGAGATTTAGCTCTCGTTCTTCTGCTACTGAGAGCTTGGCACTAGCCTGCTTTGTAGATGCGTGTATTTCTGAACAATCCTGGATGTTCACATAGAACTCCTCCACCAGCCCTTCCCCAGGTCCCCCTGCAGCTCTGAGTTATTTATGAAAGTCTCTTTTCCAGGCAGATCCCACAGAGTGTCACATGTTCCCTCTCTCTAGATCAGGCTGGCCCGAGAAGAACTGGGAAATACAGATGGGAAGACCCCCTGCTTGGGGAGATGTGATTGCAAATAGCAGGCCCGGGACACGTGTGTGCGAGTACCAGATGGCAGAGTGGAGGCACCGCCCCAGGAAACCCACTCAGGGCCCACCCCAGACAGATGCTCAGATTCTGCGGGACCCACGGGTCGCTGCCTCCATTCTGCCCCCTCCAGTGCACCCCCCACCACTGCACTGGACGCTTCTCAGGTATAAACTACCAGGATGATGTAGGGTAAGCAGCAAACAAAACCAGGAGATGAGTTGTTGACAATACACCTGCCAGACAAAGAAGAGAGAATAGCGTTTCCTGGGCAATTTCCAACAGCACTACGTACATGTGGTCTGATTTCATTCTCACATCACCTTTCCAAAGAAGAACTCATCCACTGTTTTAGAGGTGGAAAAATAGTGGTTTGGAGAGCTGAAGCCACCTGTCCAAGGTAGCAGCTTGTCCATGATAAAGCAAGGGCTCTGCCTCTCACCTGGTCACCACCTGCCATCATGTGAGGAGTCAGGGGCCCTCGCTTTGAAGTTGACTTTTGCCATTCGTTGCTATGGGGCTTCTCTCAACTTCACTTTTCTCATCTGAAAGATGGGGCCATCTGGTCTGCCTACATTTCTGCAGGTCCGGGACAGTCAGCTGAGGTCAAATGTGGGCCCACTTTGTAAACCACATTGTTATTATTAGGGTGTGGA